CTATAGTGGGCTCTGCAGGGTCTCTGTGGTCGCCGGGCCCCGACTTATGTTCCGTCCCCGGGCCCCGCCTCCTCTGCTATCGACGGGCCCCTCCTTCTCTTACATCACTGGCCCCACCTGCTCTTAGGTCGCTGGCCAGTGATGTAAGAGGAGGCCATCTGCCTCCACTCCCTGGAACTCCATTTGCCGCTGGGGAGAGAGGTCAGCTGCCTCCTCTCCCTGGAACCCTGTTGCCAGCTCTTCAGCTGGGAGTGGTAGTTTCATCTGCTGCTGGGGAGAGAGGTCGGCTCCCTCCTCTCCCTGGATCTCCGTCTTAAATAGTTTGAACGCCCGAAAGGGCAACTAGGTGTTGTCTCTGATTGCCGTAGTTGCGCCATTCTCCACTCATGTTGCCGCTCTAGTTCTCTCGCTTGTCGCTCATCCTGCAGCTGGATGCCTCTAATGGCATTCTGTATGGCGGTCTCTGATGGGTTGGCACCATATAACGCCAACCGCTGTCGAACCCGTTGCTGAAACAAGTCTCCAACTGACCGGGGTCCAGCATCACCATCCCTCTGTGCTTATTCATATGTAAATAGCTTGGCCCCTTCATATGTAAATTAGGGTTGCCACTTTTTCTTCAAGTGAAACCCGAACACTCTAGCGAGGCGCAGACATTTTTTTGGGAGAATGAGCCGTGGCATGTTCATATGTAAATAGCGCCACCTTTTCATATATAAATATCACAGTTGAGACTATTTTTAGTGGGCGGCCAGTAGCCCCTATCCTAATTTTGGTTGCTGCTGTCTGCCTGACATCTTGTGTCCGGGTTTCTGCTGCCATGAAACCTGGACACGGCATTTAAAACCCGGACTGTCCAGGTGAATCCTGGACAGGTGGCAACCCTACTATAGACTTTGCTGTTTTGTCAGTGGCCTTGTCAAGGATTTTGCAGACTGATTATGGACATTATGTAGCTCAGCAGGAATGGTGAACTGCATCAGACCCAGGTGCTCACATGTTGAACCGGACAGTAGTGGTTTCTGATTGGCTTCCACAATCTCAAATTCAAGTTTGTGCATATGTCCACGTATGCAGCATTCTGTTCAGAAACGTCCCATTGATTCCATTAGCTCCCCTGAATATAATTTCAGTGTGGTGCCACTAGGCTGAAGAGGTGCCCTAGGTGCCAGTCTCATTTTGTCTTTTAAACTCACGACATTACATGTTGCACCCGAGTCCAGCTGGCAGGGTTGGCATATATTATTTAGTCTGAGATTTACAAACCATTTTGGGCCTTTAGATTGTACAGCACCAATGCATTCCTTCGTGTAAACCACATTAGTGCTAAGCAAGTGTGCATTCTCAAGATCTGACATGTGCTCAACTGTGTGCAGTTTCCTTGCTTCAGTTTTACTAGACAAACACACTCCTGCAAAATGATTTCATCTACCACATGGTCTACAGCTTTTCCCATATGCAGGGCACTGTTCTTTCTCTCGTATATGCACATTGCCACAGTACCTGCATGATGCAGGCATGCTCCCAGGTGAGTTGCGTTGGTGATTTTTGTGCTGAAGCTTGTGCTGGTGGTTCTTCAAGCTTGGCTGTTGCTTGGAGGCTGCATTAATACTGTCAGTCTTGACAGGCCAGACGCGCCTGGTAATGCAAGGGCAAACTCACCAATTGGTGGTAGGGAATGTACAGTGATGATGCCACAGACTAATGTTAATGACAGTCCGGAGCAAGCACGTATATCGGACGGGAGTGACGAGCAGAGCATGCCAGTAAGTGGTGAGAAGAGCCCAGTGACCTCGGAGAGGGCTAAGAAACACTTTATACAACGAGGGCCGGTCTTCACCCGCAGTGGTAGACATTCACAACCACCCAAAAGACTTAACCTGTAAATATGTTACTACAAGGATTCATCCAAATTTTACAATGATCATTTATTAAGAGGGAGATGTTATGAGTGTTATGTTTAGTTTATATGCAACTCTATGATTCATCTCTGTGGCACTTGTTTCCTGTGATGCGTTTCCTGTTCCTGTTCTGTGGGTTCTCTTCTAAGAACATGACTTCTGTACACTAACGGCTTATACTGTCATTATTACCTCATAAAACAACTGACACAGCTCCGCAGCGGCTGTGAAGAGGAACGCGCCGCTGTTAGATCACTGGCAACCTGTCAGTGATGTGTGCAGCGGCCGCGGCGCGTTTCCCCTCACAGCCGCTACGGAGCCGCGTCAGTGACAGCCAGCATCTGCGGCAGAAGAGGCCGGCGTTCGCAGTGAAGGAGAGGCAGGGCCCGCCTAAGAGGAACCCCC